TCCTGCTCCTCTGATGCTGCCTGGCCTGCTGTGTTCCTCCAGCTCCACACTGTTATCTATTTAAGAAGGGGTCTGTTGAAAGCACATGACCAAAAAGCTGTGCACAATCAGGGAGGAGATCCAATCCACAATGAGACACAGCCCCAGTTCAGGGAATTTGGAGGCCATGTCGGAAGGTGCTGCAGAAGGGAATGAGGTGCTTTTTGTTTGACTTTTTAGTTTGTAGTTTGTAAGGTATTTTTACATGAATTGAAACCCAGGACCAGCAGGCAAATGCAAAACAAAGAGTGACATCACAGGAAACGTAAGTCCATTGGTTGGTAATAACTGCTAATTTGACTATCATGTTATAGTTACTCTCAAATTGAAGGTAAATAGGAGAAATATTTACAGATTGCAAACTATAAGACCAGTAGGACATTTTCTTTAAAAAAAAACAAATTGGAACTAAGTAAATAGCAGTGCCAGGCCAGGTGATGTGTTGTAACTGCATGATGTGGAGCAGGTAGATCTCGCTGTGTTTCATAGTGACCACACCTATAGCAAGCGTTATCTGCTTGAGGAACTCTGGCTCAGAGTTGATGAGCTGGAGTCTAAGCTTTGAACGCTGCAACACATCAGGGAGGGGGAGAGTTACTTGGACACTGTGTTTCGGGAGGCGGTCACAGCCCTTAGATTAACTATGTTGAATTCAGTCAGTTGTCATGGGCAGGAGGGTGTGACTAACAGCTAGGCAGGTAGAGGGATCCAGGAGGTCATGCTGAAGGAGCCTCAGCTCTTGAGCTTGTCTAACAGGTTTGAGATTCTTGATCCCTTTGCAGATGAGTGTGGGCTGTCGGGAGGATGAACAAACTCACCATAGCACCATGGTACAGGGAGCATTCAAGAGAAAAGAGAAATGTTGTTGAAATTGGAGATAATCAGGTGAAAAGACACTGTTCTTTGTGGCCAGGATCAAGAGTCCCAAAGGCTGTGTTGTCTACCCAGGTTCACGATCTTATCTGGGTTGCAGAGGAACTTGGAGAAGTAGGGGAACGATCCAGTTGTTGTGGTTCAAGATACCAACGATATAGGTAAAAGGAGAATGGAGGTTCTGCTGAGGGAATATGAGCAAATAGTGGTGAATTTAAAAAGCAGAACCAAGCAGGTAATAATCTCTGGATTATTGCCTGAGCTATGAGCAAATTGGCACAGGGTAAACAAGATTAAAGAGTTAAACAAGTGGCTCAAAAATTGGCGTGGGAGAACTGGGTTTGAACTCATGGGGTGTTGGCACCAGTACTGGGGGAGGAGGGAGCTGTTCCGATAGGACAGGCTCTACCCGAATCATGCTGAGACCACAGACCTGGCAAATTGCCTAACAAGGGCTATAGGGCTGGGGAGATGGGTTCAGTTCCATGGAAAATTATAAAATGAAAGGTAGAGGAGAAGGTTAGATTGCTGGTTAGTGATGGGGTTGATTGTTACAAGAAAGGAAACAGAAGGAATGGAATGTGTGAATGTCACATTGTACCAAGGAATTGTAGAAGTGGAGGGAATTTTGATAATAAAACAAACTTAAAGACTTTGTATCTTAATGCGCGAAGCAAATTGGGGTAAATGGATATGACGTCATCGCCATTATGAAACATGGTTACAAGGAGATCAAAACTGGGAGCTTAACATTCAGGGATATTTAACCTTTTGGAGAGACAGGAGGGAGGGAATAAGTGGTGGGGTAGCACTTTTTAATAAGAGATGAAATGACAACAGTTGTGAGAGATGATCTAGATTCAAATGATGCAGAGTCCATTTGAGCAGAGGTTAAAATACAAGGGATAGAAAACATTGGTAGGAGTAATGCACAGACACCAAAACAGTAGCCACTCTGTGGGAAATGCTATAAATCAACAAATAATCAGAGCATGTAAAAACAATAGAGCAATAATTATGGGTGACCTAAACCTTCATGTGATTGGGTTAATCAAATTGAAAAGGTTATCTATGACAACAAATTCATAGTGTACATGAGATAGTAGCAGTATTTATTGGAGCCAACCAGGGAACAGGTTATCTTGGATCTGGTAATGAGGCAGCTTTAATAAATGACCTCTGAGTAAAAGATCCCCTAGGAAGTAGTGATCATAATATGATAGAATTTAATATTCAGTTTGAGTTTAAGATACTTGGATCGGAAACAACTATGTGTAACTTAAAGGAAGGGAATTACAATGAAATGAGGATAGAGTTAGCTGAAGTGATTCAGGCAGATAGATTAACAGGAATGACAGGAAGCAAGCGGTGGCAGACAACCAATGAGGTAATTTATGACTCTCAGCAAAAATACATCCCAGTAAAGAGGAAAGTTCCTAAGAGAGGAATCAATCAATCAACCAGCCAAGCAATCATGGCTAACTAAGATGCTAAGGAGAGTATTAAGTTGAAAGATGTATGTATAAGGAGGCCAAAGTCAGTGATAGCCCTGAAGACTGAGATAAATTCCGAATCCAGCAAAGGGGGACTGAAAAGATAATAAAGACAAAGAAAATGAACTACCAGGGCAAATTAGCAGGGGATATAAAAATTAACAATAAGGACTTCTTTAAATATATAAAAAGGAAGAGAGAGGTCAAATTAAACATTGGCCTCTTAGAAAATGAATACGGGGAGACTGGTTTTGGGAGATAATGAAATGACAGAGGAGAGAAACCGATATTTAGCATTAGTCTTTATGGTGGAAGGTATTTCAGACATTCCATTGATGTTAAAGAATGTGGGGGAGGAATTAAATACCATCACCAAAACTAGAAAAAGTAGTATTAGAGAAACAAATGGGGCTTAGGCAGATATGTTCCCGAGTCCTGACAGTATGCATCCCAGGTAGCTACAGAGATACTGGTTGCATTCGTAATTTTCAAAAAAATTGTTGGATTCTGGAGAAGTACAAGAAGAATGGAAAACAGCTAATGTGACACCCCTATTCAAAACAGGAGTCGAAAGGCAGGTAGTATCCCTATCTTTCAGCCAGGAGGCCCTCCTGTTCCAGAGGTGTGTAATATCATCTCCGAACAGGTGGATTAGAAAATAGGCTTTAAAAAAAGCAGATCTAGATGAATGGTGGTTAGTAGATTACCAAAAAGGGAGATTTTCGTGGTGGGAAAGTCACTTAGTTGTGTGTGATAACACTTCTGGGTTGAAAAAAACAATCAAAAAGCAAATCCAGTGACCTTAATGCGCTTTGAGTGTAAATATTGAATTGACTACATGAGTGATTACTGGTGGTAGTTAAAAGAGAAAATTGTAGTTTATAAAATAAAGCAGACCCAGTGGTTGTGGTTAGTATTATATAAAGAAAGACAATAAAAAGGTCACAGTAATTTGTTGGGAAAGTCGTTTGGTAGTGTGTGATAGCATTTCTGTTATAAAAGAAAAGCAGACCCAGACTCTTGTGGCACAGTGGA